ACCCACGCCCCGTTGACGTTATGATCGGAGATCCCCCAAAAAATCAGCTCGATCGAAACTTCTTTGTCCGGCTAGGTCGAGGTCACCTTTTTTGCCCTATTGAGGTCCCTGGCCGCTCCATAAAGAGCTGATGGCTGGACAGAAAGAAAGAGAGAGAGAGAGAGAGAGAGAGAGAGAGAGTGAGGAAGGAACGAAGGAAGGAAGGAAGGAAGGAAGGAAGGAAGGAAGGAAGGAAGGAAGGAAGGAAAAAAGAAAGAAAGAAAGAAGAAAGAAAGAAGAAAGAAAGAAAGAAAGAAAGAAAGAGAGAAAGAAAGAAAGAAAGAAAGAAAGAAAGAAAGAAAGAAAGAAAGAAAGAAAGAAAGAAAGAAAGAAAGAAAGAAAGAAAGAAAGAAGAAAGAGAGAGAAAGACCTCTCCACAATTCTTGGTCACCTGAGATACATATTATCAATGGGCCATGGCCCCCAAATTCCCCTCCCTCTAGCAGTGATGCAAGAGTATACCAGCCTCTCTCCCTTCTCCCCAGTGCAACAGACTTGTCATTCATTGTTTTCTATGCCGGTGATAGAAACCAAAAGATAATGCATTTTCACTAGTATTTCTATTTGTACTTCTTTGTCTTCTCCTAGAAAACAGGGAAACATCCCATCTCTTCATTTCCCCACATGTCAGCTACTAATATCCATCATCTTTCTCAAAACCACGAGAAAGCAGGTTTCATGAAATAAAGGGTGCAGAAAGTGAAATTTTAAATATTTACTAGTATGTATTGCCTCTGCTCATTTTTCTTTGAAATACTGGCTTTAAAATATATATTTGTACATGCTTTTCTGTGTATGAGACGTTTTGTGGAATGATGTTTGCCAAAATGTTACCACTGGTTATTTCTGATAGGTTCATGTCTAAACAACAGTAACATCACCCAGGTATCAGGGATGTTGTAAAAATTGATGAGATTGCATTGAAGAAGCATTTTCAGTTCTTAGAGGTAAACAAAGACCCTATTTCTCAGAGGATTTATTTCTTTTTTAATTTTGTTTTATTGCTTAAAGTATTACAAAGAGTATTACATATGTTTCCTTCCCTCCCCCCCCCCCCCGACCTTCCCCCGGCCTCTCCTACCCCCCAGTGTCTTGTGTCCATTGGTTATGCTTATATGCATGCATAAAAGTCCTTCGGTTGATCTCTTACCCCTACCACCCAACCCTCCCTGGCCTTCCCGCTGTAGTTTGACAGTCTGTTCGATGCTGCTCTGCCTCTGTATCTATTTTTGTTCATCAGTTTATAGTGGTCTTTATTATGAGTGAGATCATGTGGTATTTTTCTTTCATTGACTGGCTTATTTCCCTTAGCATAACGCTCTCCAGTTCCATCCAAGCTGTTGCAAATGGTAAGAATTCCTTCTTTTTTACAGCAGCGTAGTATTCCATTGTGTAGATGTACCACAGTTTTCTAATCCATTCATCTGCAAATGGGCACTTAGGCTGTTTCCACCTTTTATGATGGGTATCATCAAGAAGGCAAGAGCCCGGCCGGTGTGGCTCAGTGGTTGAGTGTCACCTCCTGAAGCAGCAGGTCACCGTTCAATTCCTTGTCAGAGCATATGCCCAAAGTTGCAGGCTTGATTCCCAGTGTGGGGTATGCAGAAAGGCAGCCCAATCAATGATTCTCTCTCATCATCAATGTTTCTATCACTCTCTCCCTCTCTCTTCCTTTCTGAAATAAATAAAAATATATTTTAAAAAAAAATAAGGCAAGAAATAACAAGTATTGGCTTGGATATGGGGAAAGGGAATTCTTGTGCATTGGTTGGAATGTAAATTGCCATAGCTATTATGGAAAACAATATATAGCTTCTTCAAAAAATTTTTAAAATAGCCCTGGCTGGTTTAACTCAGTGATTAGAGCATTGGCCCATAGACCTAAGGGTCAGAGGTCTGATTCCCTATCAAGGACAGGTACCTTGGTTGCACGTTCCCCACCCCTGGTAGGGGTGCATGAGAGAGGCAGCCAATCAATGTGTCTCTCTCGAGTTGATCTCTCTATGTATCTATCTCTCCTCTTCCCCCACCCCGCTCCCTTCCCTCTACACTCTTTAGAAATCAATGGAAAAAATACCCTTTGGTGAGGATTAAAAATATATATTTTAATAGAACTACCAAAAGATCCAACAATTCCACTTCTGTGTATATGTCTAAAGGAAAGGAAATGAGGATCTCAGAGATATCTGCATCCCCATGTTTCATTCCAGCATTACTCAGAATAGCCAAGACATGGAAACAACCTAAGTGTTCATCAATGGATGAATGGATAAATAAGATGCCGTGTATGTATACAATTGAATGTTATTCAGCCATGAGAAAAAGGAAACCCTGCTGTTTGTGACAACTTGGATGAAACCTGAGGGCATAATGCTAAGTAAAATAAGACAGAGAAAGATAAATACTGTATGATAACACTTATATGTTGAATCTAAAAAAGCCAAACTCAGAGAAAAAGAGATCAGATGTGGGGGCATGTGGGGGAGATATCGGTTAAAGGCTATAAACTTACAGTTATAGGATTAACAAGTGCTGGGGATATAATGTACAGCATGGTGATTATAGCTCATACTACTATATTATATACTTGAAAGTTGCTAAGAGAGTAGATATTAAATGTTCTCACACACCCCCAAAATTGTAATTATGTGACAGGATAGAGGTGGTAGCTAATGCTATGGTGGTAATAATTTTGCAATATAGAAATGTATCAAATTAATAGGTTGTATACATTAAACTTACAGCTATATGTCAATTATATCTCAATAAATCTGGGGGAAATGCCACTAGTGTATGGCAAAATGACACCTTAGAAAAAGGAAAACCAAAAATTACCTACCCTCTCTTTTAGCTAATTAAGGTTGTTCACTTTGCCCGGCTGCAGTGACTCAATGATTGAGTGTCAACCTATGAACCAGGAGGTCACAGTTCTGAAACCCGTTATCTCCCTAGCCGGGTTGTAGGCTTGATCCCCAGTGGGGGGGGGGGGGGTGCAGGAGGCAGCTGATCAGTGATCCTCTCTCTTCATTGATGTTTCTATCACTCTCTCCCTCTCCCTTCCTTTCTGAAATCAATAAAAATGTTTTGTTTTGTGTGTGTTTTTTTAAAAAGGTTGTTCACTTTTATTTATTAACTATGTTCCAGCACTATTTTAGCACTTTATAAACATTGCCTCATTTAATCATATGATATAAGGACTCATTATCCACATCTTGACAACTATCATTTTAACACATTTC